TGCACCAGCACCGCTCCTGCCACACCTTTTTTATCTGGGCCACCCGTGGTGCTGGGCAAGTCCAGCCTAAACCTGCCCTCTCTCAGTTTAAAATGGTTGTCCTATCACTACAGTCCCTGGTAATGATCCTCTCCATCTTTCTTGTAAGTTCCCGTTATATACTGAAAGGCCACACACTGAAAGGACTGTTCATGTTTCTGCGGAGTTGATGTTGGACAGATCATACCTAATGCTCAGTAACAATTTGTTCTATTTGTGCTCAATAAAAAAGTCCTAGACAGCCTTGATTTAGCTAAAGGTAAGCTTAAATCTAATTTCTTGCTGGCCAAAGGTTGCTTTTCATATGCTGCGCAAACCAGGTTCTACCTCATGTTAGTAAAGTCTGCTGTTCTCTTGATCACACCTCTTGATAGTTAAGCATTTAACAGTCTACGTGTGTTATCTGTGTTGTCTAGGTGCTTATAACATTCATGTTTTTATTGAACAGGTTCTCCACTTTCAGCTAGATCAACAGCCTCACCATGTGTGGTATCTGGGCCCTGTTTGGGAGTGATGAATGCCTTTCTGTCCAGTGTCTAAGTGCCATGAAGATAGCACACAGAGGTCCTGATGCATTTCGTTTTGAGAACGTCAATGGATTCACCAACTGTTGTTTTGGCTTCCACCGCCTTGCAATTGTTGATCAATTATATGGCATGCAGCCTATCCGGGTGAAGAAATTCCCGTATCTGTGGCTGTGTTACAATGGAGAAATCTACAATTTCAAACAGGTAAGTGTTGTATGTAGGATAAGTCATTTTCTCTTTTTTTTTTTTTTTTTAATTTCAAAACTAGTGGATATTCAGAAAATGTTTAAAACATGGTGGACTAGAATATCAGAAAAAAAATTTTAAAGTTATTAAATTACTCCTATTTAAAAGGAAGTAAATTACCTCAATGAGCTGTGAATCTGTGGTGGCTTAGATAGTCAAATACTTAGTCTTTAAAACCAAAAAAATCACTTTTCAATTGACAAGACGGGCAATAAGTATTTGTCCCTTCAGGTTTCATCAGTTTAAAATAATGCGTTCTTCATTATCTCTTGGGAAGGGGAATTCCAAGCCTCTTTCTCCCTTTCTTTCTTTGTAATACACATGCTTTTAGACTGTCTTGCTCTTCATTTATTTTGGGTCATTCTGCAAGCTGTTGGGTATTGTGTTTTTATTTCTGCATATTAATCTAGTTGGGATATGTCCATTATACTATATTATATGTATAGCATGTAGACATATGTATTTATGTAGAAGCAGCAAGCACTACAGAGATGTTTCCAGTAGGCCACCAAAGTCCTCAGGAGTTTTCATCTTAAGGCAGATGCTTTCTGGAGTTTTTAAGAGCCACCTAGGCAAGTCTCTCGGGCACAAAACAAGCAGCAGCTCTGTTCTTGCTTCCTAAAGTGTCTGAATGTCCCTGGTGGGTGTGATACTGCCGCTGAACATTGTATGCCTCAGTCACTGTGCTGAGATGTCCATGCTGCTGCCTGTGTTACTTGTAAAGGGAAGTGATTCTGATCATCCAAATTTGGTGTATAAAGCACCCTACAATTGTGACTATTTCTGAATCATGCTGAAACTGAATGCGTAAAATGAATCATAAACAGTGTGGTAGTATCAGAAACATATGAATAATCTGAGATGTCTTAGTACTTCTAACAACACATTTTTGAAGTCGGAGTGTTTTAGGGCAGGGGGGATAAGAAGGTGGCACCGAGTGATTTGAAACTAGAATAAATGATGTTTTTGTTTCTGGTCTTGTTTTGAGTTGTTTTTTAAGAAGCAGTGGCTGCCTGCTTCTGCCACTTGTCTGTGGAGATGGAGAGGCTAGTGCTTCTGAATACCAAGGTCATGGGTTTGCAGTTTCAGATAGAAAAGTATCCCCGAAAACTTGCCATAATGTGAATTGCTTAAGACTGCAGAGTCAATCTCCATTGTCTGAGAGATGATCCTGGATGATATTTTGAACACAAAAATACGGTTTCCTTCTTTGGCAGAAATGTTTGCATAACTGTTGAATTGTGATTCAAAAAAACCCTTAGTTTTCTTATTAAACAATTACAAGTGGTGTTTTTTCCATTAATAAGCAGTCAATGTTTGCAAATGCTTATTCATGTTTTTCTTTATATTTTTTCTTAGTTGCAGAAGCAGTTTGGATTTGAATATCAAACATTAGTGGATGGTGAGGTTATCCTTCATCTTTACAACAGAGGAGGAATAGAACAAACAGCATCCATGCTAGATGGTGTATTTGCTTTCATCCTTCTGGACACTGCAAACAGAAAAGTGTTTCTGGCGAGAGATACTTATGGAGTCAGACCACTGTTTAAGGTCCTGACTGATGATGGATTTTTAGGTGTCTGTTCTGAGGCAAAAGGTAAAACCAGTTGTGTTTAGTGCCTAAATAATCTTAGGTATTGTTGTGGGAGACAAACTTCTTTGTCAGGCTTTTCCTCTTAAGTGTGAAGAGAAAGTAACTGTAAGTTCAGTAATAAACGAACTATATTTAGTAGTATAGGATATACACATCATTAAAACAAAAACCATGTACAGTAAACCTCTAAGAAGTTTAATTGTCCTTAATATCTTTAAAATAACTCACTTACTTAATTTTGTAATTCCTTGTGTTCTGGAATCATAGCAGTATTGAGCCCAGGATGTTTTATATTACTTCAAAGTTAAATTTGGTCTATAGAGTTAGGCTAGATTTTTGCTATGATAAATTATATTAGAATTTGTTCCTAGTGTTCTATGGTGAACTGGAAAATAATGCCACAAGAACTGTTAATCTGTAAAAGCCAAGAATTTGAAAAGCCTACTGAAATTTCCTGCAGCGTTGGATAATTTTCTAGTGACACTTACTTTATTTGATGACAGTTTTTTTCCTTTGAGGTGATGCATCCACTACTCTTTTTTTTTTTTTTTTTTAAAGTAATTATCTCTAGTTGTAACACTTGCAGAAACAAATCCAAACAGCACCAAAAGGGAGTTTAATGCCTAAAATGCACTTTGGCTAAAAATTGACTTTTACAACTACTTGTGTCTCTCCTGTTTACTGTATATCAATTTTATTGTCAGACTCCATTGTAGGTTGACTTCTCTAATAGTAGTACTAAGTACTAGTACTAAGAGCTTTACCATCCCCGCTTCTTGGGAAGGAAGAAGGGAAGTGAATATTTCAGGGACTGTGTCCTATGACCATCGCAGGGAATTACTGGTCCCTCTCTACATCAATTCAGTATCTCTTTTGTGGAGTTCCTCAAGGGGCGTCCAGGTGACCAGCAGGTGGAAAACGTCCTCTTTCACAAGAGGAATGGAAGTGAGGTTTGGCTACAAGTCTGATTCTTGGTGTTCATTAGCAGCGGTGTAGATCAGTCTGGAACTGAGGAGTTATGAAATCACAAAATCAAGTGTCAATTAAGCAATCACTTCAGTGATGTAGTTTTATTACAAACCCCTTACTAGCTTAACTACACTTAATTTTAAACACAAAATCAGTTATTAACTGTAATTTGAATTCTCATAAGCATATTACACCCTGACCTGAACATCATGTAGTCAGTTAGAAAAGTGCTATTCTTAACACTAGGGAATAAATTGCTGCTTACCAATTAGTAAAACTTGCTGACTTCCTTTATATGTTATCTGCCTCAGCTTGAGGTGGCTCGGATCTATGTGTGCAACCTGCCAGAAGCAGAATCATGCTCAAGCCAGGGCAGACTCAGACTCAAAATGACTTTTTTTTTAGTACCAAACTTAGGATCTGGAGAAAATATTTGTATCTAGTTTTAGTACAGAGGTGGTTGAATGAGGTATAACGTAACCATCCTAGGTTAAAAACTCTGACTTTTTTCTCCCCATTTTATCTGTAGGACTTACCAACTTAAAGCATTCAACATCCTTATGTAGTAAAGTGGAACCATTTCTCCCTGGTCATTATGAAGTGTTGGATTTAAAGCCCTCTGGCAAGGTCGCATCTGTGGAATTAGTAAAATTTCATAGCTATAAAGATGAACCACTTCATGCTGCGTGTGATACAGTGGAAACTCTGCCTTCAGGTAGTACAGCAAAGCATTTGCTACTTACTCGGTTTAAAAGTGAAAAAAATACAGTCCTTGAATATAAAATTGCATTGATTGGGTTTTAAAAGTGCCATTTAAAAAAAACCCAAACCAACAACATGGAAGAACTTTTAGAATGTAGGAACTTGAGAACTGTTTTTGTAGGCAGTCATATACAAATATATTTGAACTTGCATGCACTCATTATCAAAGGAAATTCAGACAAATACAAATATTTTTGTTTTCCTAATTGTGTGATCCAGCGAAGTCTAAGTAATCCTTCTTGGTTTGGGGTTTGGTTCATTGGTTGGTTTTTTTCACCTCTTCTTTTCTGGGCAGGCTTTGATCTTGAAACAGTGAAAAGCAACATCCGTATTCTGTTTGAAAATGCTGTTAGAAAACGTTTGATGGCTCACAGAAGGATTGGTTGTCTTTTGTCAGGTAAGTAGCAAGAACCACAACTCTTACGTGTTCTCTGTCTTTTGCCCATAATCTGTCAGTTAGAAGAAAGTATGCTGGCTGTTCTGCTGTGATGCACCTGAAGAAATCTGAATCTTCATTTGCTTTTTAGTTACAGAAGACTTGTTAGTTTGTGATAAAGTTTTTCAGTTTACAAGTATCTTGAAATCTTATGCTTTTAAAGTTTACTCTGGGACAGTATGTTGGCTTATTGAGACACTGACTATTTTTAACTAAGTAGAAAAAAAATTCAATATTCTTATTGAAAAATTACCCGATATACTCATAAAGATTTATCCTTGGGTTGGTGTCTAAAAAGAAAATGTAATTGTTACATTCAGTTTGTACTGAGTGAAGATAGAAATAAGCCTTGGCGTGTTCTGTTCAGGCAGCAGGAGGAACTGAAGTTCTTACTTGTCACCTTCTTCGCTTTAGCCTCCATCCTAGACTGCCCTTGATTTACTAAATTACAGGGGAGTATCTGGGCCAAAATTATTTGCTCCACTCTTTTTTTTTCAGGGGAGTTAATAGGAAGTTAACTGAATTGACTGATCAGTGTTTTGATCTGGTTTTTACCAGACTGGCATTACAGAGACACTTTGCAGAAGGAAGGCTTTGTTGCCATGGGACTGACTGCCATCTTATTTACTGTGTTTTGGTAACACTTTGTACTTGTGGTTAGACTTCTGATATGCTGTTCATGTGTGTGTTGAACATCAGTATGTTGACTCATTTGTCATGAACAATATTAAATGTACATTTGAATGAGAGAGAACTGACTAGGAGATACTGTTGGACCATTTCCTTACCGTGGCATTATAAAACATAGGAGGAAGGTAAATGAAACGGGAGATCTGTAGAGTTGGAAGATCCCAACTTTGTAAAAAGCCTGTTCAAAATCCAAATTTCATGTATCAAATTATAAGTCAGTCAGCAGCTCCCCAGATGCAGGTGCCAAATGTATTAGTAGCAAAACTGGGTGCCCGTGCTGGTATAATACCAGAGTATCTCAGTGCTTCACGGTTTTGAGCATGCTTGGAGCATCACGGCTGGGGAAGTGCTTTTGTTCCCCCAATCCCAGAGGGAGTTCTGCAACTTCACAGTGGAAACTCGGGGTTTGATTTCCTTGATTTCCACATCCTAAGCACTCAGTTTGATTTCTGTGCTCTCCTTTTTTCAGACTCTGCATGTAATTTTTACAGAAGGAGATTTTTTTTTTACAGGGTAGCATACCCACAAAGGGGGTCAGGGTGGGAATGGATGCTAGGACACTCAGATGAAAAGCCACGTGCAGACTGTAGGAAACAAAGAGAAGAGGATTTTACCTTGTGCTTGTCAGAACGGCAGGCAGGTGTGGGAGAAAAGGTACTGTGTTTTTCTCAGTACTTCAAAGGGGAACAGCAAGTAGAACTAGTCAAGGACTAGCAGAACTAAGACTCCACCTTCTTGTTCTCATGAGCTAGAGTACATGTGGACACCTTACACATCTCTGTTATTCTTTGTTTGTCACATTGTTCAAAACCTTCCACTGTTGTACTCTGAGAAGGAAGAGAAGGAAAAAAAAAGGAATGTCACTAGTGAACTTCTTAACTGTACTCTGAGAAGGAAGAGAAGGAAAAAAAAAAAAGGAATGTCACTAGTGAAATTCTTAACGTTGAAGTGATATGTAGGTAAGAAGAGGATAGATAGCAGTTTAGAAACGGAGAATAAATCCAATTATAGCAGAGTTGAGAAGGGACATGTTCTGTAGTGGTACGTTTTCAGAATACCTTCTGTGTATCTTAAAGAAGGATTTCCAGTGATGCTTCTGACACCAAAGGTACTAACAACTGTTACTGAAGCTGTTCCACTAAAGTTGCCTGATTCTCTTGCTAAGCAGAAGTAAATGTGCACTTGTACAAGTACCACCTCGGATTCACATGACTTAAAAATTAAACCCAGTCATGAGATTCTGCTATCTAGATTCAGTGTCCTTAAGGGGAAAACAAAAAAAAACAGTCAAACACCTCACCAAATAATTTGTTTTGTTGGCAGGGGGCTTAGATTCCAGCTTGGTTGCAGCTGTTCTTCTGAAACTGATGAAAGAAATCAACATCAATTATCCATTACAAACCTTTGCAATTGGAATGGAAAACAGTCCTGACTTACTTGCTGCCAGAAAGGTATAGTAAGCATTGCTTTCAGTTTGTTCTAAGGTGCTGAATGCTAAGCAGTGTATATTAATGGTGCTAACTTCATGGTATGGTATTAATAGTAATACTGAATATTCACATGTTGCTATGATTTAAATCAGTTTGCAGTAAATCAACTAGTACAATGTTTTCTGCTTAGCTAAATCTTACAAAAGAGATCACAGAATCACGGAATCATAAGGGTTGGAAGGGACCTCAGGAGACCATCTAGTCCACCCCCCTGCTAAAGCAGGTTCCCTACAGCAGGTTGCACAGGAAAGCGTACAGACAGGTGTTGAACATCTCCAGAGATGGAGACTCCACAACTTCTCTGGGCAGCCTGTTCCAGTGCTCTGTCACCCTCACAGTAAAGAAATTTTTCCTTAAGTTGGTGTGAAACTTTCGGTGTTCCAGTTTTTGCCCCTTGTCCTGTCACTGGGCACCACTGAAAAGAGCCCGGCCCCATCCATTTGGCCCCCACACTTCAGGTATTTATAGACATTGATAAGATCCCCTCTCAGTCTTCTCTTCTCCAGGCTGAAGAGTCCCAGCTCTCTCAGCCTCTCCTCATACAGGAGATGCTTCGGGCCCTGAGTCATCTTTGTGGCCTCTGCTGGATAATTGAGCCTTACCGTTGTTACCAAAAGGGTGGTACTTTGGAGTGGTCTCAATTCTGCCTGTGAGTTTTAGGATAAATCTCCATATATAAAGTTCATATACTATGACATTTGTATATATGTTAAATATTGACAGTTAATCGTCAGTTTACTGAATTAAGAGCCTTCTACAAACTGTCTTATATCTAGGGTTCCCTTTAGGTATCTAGGTTGTCACGGCATTTGAGCTGCTTTTTCTCTTTGGGGCAAATATCTGGAGTATTTAGAGCCTCTGCAGATTATGTCGTGCTTTGAATAAGCATCTGGATGGTCTGTTGTAATCATGATTGAACACTCATTAGGGAGACTATGTTCCCTCTGGTGAATCATAGAATCATAGAATGGTTTGGGTTGGAAGGGACCTTAAAGATCATCTAGTTCCAACCCCCCTGCCATCAGCAGGGACACCTTCCACTAGATTGGGTTGCTCAAACCTCATCCAACCTGGCCTTGAACACTTCCAGGGAGGGGGCATCTACAACTTCCTTGGGCAACCTGTTCCAGTAAAATGTGCCACTGCAAGTCAGAGGGGCTGCTACACTATTGTCTCTTCTTGGCCTAATGTCATATAATTCCCACTGTAGCAAAAGGGAGCTGGTGCTTTCACTCAATGTGTGTGTTTTAAACACAATGTATGTTTAAAAATGTTTTAATTAAAAGGCAATACATTATTGTGACCTTCTACAAACAGGTGGCAGCACATATAGGCAGTGAACATCATGAAGTAATATTTAATTCTGAAGAGGGAATTCAGGCAATAGAGGAGGTTATCTTCTCCTTGGAAACCTATGATATAACAACAATAAGAGCTTCAATTGGTAAGATCTTTTTAATAGTAATCTTTGCTTTGTATCACCTGAATAAAATTTTATGCAAAATCATGTAGTCATCTACTAGATCCTTTAGCTGTCACAGAACCTGGAACTGGGATTCCCAAGTTCTGATCCCCTGTCTTGTCAGTGATACCACACCGAGGCAAAGACAGTTATTTGTTTCAAAGTCGCTGACTATGCAAAACATTTGTCAAGAGCTATTCCTGGAACTTTGGGATGAAAAACGAAAGTTACATGAAGAAGAAACATTAGATCTACAGGTCTAGGTTTTCTGCTTGGATAAGTATGAACCTTGGAGGAAGAGGGAAAAATTACAAGTTATCTGAGGCACTGAATGTTTTGATAGCAAAACAATTATGATTACCCTATTCCTTGCATAATTTTAATACTAAAGCGCAGTATTTCTTGTCACCCTCTAGTAACGCATGTGCACTCAAGCCAGGTAGGCTTCTTGCAATGTATGTTTGATTCTGAGAGACGAAGGAAGTCACCAGCAGCTTCTTACAGAGGGTTGCCAACCTGATAAGAATGAAAAACCCTAATCCAATGTGACCTTCTGTGTAATGCCAGCTATGACATTTTACCGTACATTTTACCGACACAGTTAATCTTGTGTCTGCCTAAAACATTATTAAAAAGTTAATAAGCCAAATAGGCAACACGGTTTTGGAAACCCAGGTCCCTGAATGGAATTGGTACATGAAGATAAGACTTTGCAATGTGAAATATTGAAAGTGGTTCTTTAAAATATAAAGCCAACTTTTCTTCTGTCATCTTTCTTTGTGTTTGCTGCTTAGTATAAGAAATAATCCTTTTCATTAGATCTCTAAAACTTTTGTTATAAAAGCGTATCATTTGGAAATATGCAATGAGAAGGCATAATTCTGATTAATAAATAATTATTTAAAAAAAAAAATTGAAAAAAAAGGCTTCATCCAGTTCAACCCACAGTGGCAGAGAGTTAAGCAGCAACTTTTGCTGATAGTTTTGTTCTCCAAAGCTAGAAGGTTTGTTCAGGACTGTGGTGGAATTAATCATGTGCTTAATTTTGGACTGAGTCATAGCAACTCCTATATGTGTTCCCACGGGAATCCTCCAGCATTCCCAGGATCACAGATGCACACATCTTTCTGATACTTTGAGGGCTAAGTATAAGTACACAGTTTAGGTGTGTTTGTGGCACTTAGTTTGTGTGATTGTTGATGGCTTTGAAAAACAGTGAGATGTTATTTTAGTGTATGGTGGTTTTTTGCTACGTAAGAAAGTAGTGTAGGAGAAAAACTTTTATAATGCTAAGTTTAAAACTGTAGCAGCTGTATATAGCATCATACATGTATCTGTACTTTAATGACTTCATACTTTTTTTTTTTTTGAAGGTATGTATCTTGTCTCCAAATATATACGGAAGAAAACAGACAGTGTGGTCATTTTTTCAGGAGAGGGATCAGATGAGCTGACACAAGGATATATCTATTTCCATAAGGTGAATATGTTCACTATACAGAAAGCCCTTGACCTGCTTGTTCTCCCCTTCAGCAGAAAATCTCTACTGAGATTCCAAAGTGTGAAGTTTGGGAGTTGTCACAGCTGTATATTTGCTGAGAATTTCTCCTGAGGTGGCATAAAATCCAAGGGATTAAATTTAATCACTTGAAAAATACCTTTTTTAAAACCTCACAATTTTTGAGACTGTTACTTCTTGTATGTGGTCTTTGCTAGTTCTGTGATCACTCAGTGATCATTACAACTCAAACACCAGAGAGCAAGTAATGCTTCCCTCAGTTCAGCAGTATTATGTCTGCATATGTCTGGTTACAGGCACCATCTCCTGAAGAAGCTGCAGAAGAGAGCGAGAGGCTTCTGAAGGAGCTCTACCTGTTTGATGTGCTTCGTGCAGACAGAACTACTGCAGCACATGGGTAAAACATAGTCTCTTGGAGGCTGAGGACTTATGTGATTTAAAAGATTTCAAGTGGTGTTCCCCAGGGCTCAGTATTGGGGCCAGCTCTGTTTAATATCTTTATCAATTATCTGGATGAGGGGATTGCACCCTCAGTAAGTTTGCAGATGACACCAAGCTGGGCAGGAGTGTTGATCTTCTTGAGAGTAGGAAGGTTCTACAGAGGAATCTGGACAGGCTGTATCAATGGGCCAAGGCCAGTTGTATGAGATGCAGTGAGGCTGAGTGCCAGGTCCTGCACTTGGGTCA